AATTTAATAGTTGTACGATGTGTTCACTAATTTCTATTTATATATTTACAAATATAATAAAATAAAACACTCAAGTGTTTTTCTATATTATCAAATTAATATTTGTAAATTCAACTGTTTTTTTTGCAGAACAATTGATCCTAAACCATGCAATCCACGGACTTTGCAAAAACCAAAAAAGGGTGGAGGATATCCTAAAGTGTTTTTGGGTGGTTTGCCATCGAATGTGACGGAGACTGACCTCAGAAGTTTCTTTACACGGTTTGGAAAGGTTATGGAAGTTGTCATAATGTATGACCAAGAAAAGAAAAAATCGAGGGGTAATGTATTAGAAATGACAAATTATTAATTTTTTTCATTGTGTTAATTTTCAGGATTTGGATTCTTATCATTCGAAGATGATGAAGCTGTTGACCGATGTGTATCGGAACATTTTGTTAATTTAAATGGAAAACAAGTTAGTTTCATGTAATGTATAAACATAAATGTTATTATAAATACAATTTTTTAGGTTGAAATAAAAAAAGCTGAACCACGAGATGGTTCAGGTGGAACTAAAATGGGAGGGGATCCATCATCAGCTTGGGGACCCCCTCAAGCTCCTATGGGAATGATACAAGGTCCAAATGGCCAGATGGGCGGGCCACCAATGAGCATTGGTGCTCCTATGGGTCCCAATATGATGCAGAGTTATCAAGGTTGGGGTACATCTCCACAACAGCAGAGCTATGCTGGATACGGTACTCCTTCAGGGCCAGGATCATATCAAGGTTGGGGTGCACCACCAGCACCTCAAGGACCTCCACCTCTGTTTAAAAAATCTGTTTTTCCGTCAATCAGCTGTCTGTCAAGATTTTTTTTATTTTGAGAGCAAATGACATGGGACTGATTGGTCTCAAAGCCTTTGATGAGTCTTGTCTGATTTGACAAAGTTTCTCTATTTTTTTTTGGTATTTTTCCCAAAACTAAACTTGCTCTCAAGATTTCACACGATTTTTGAAGTAAGTGTGCACTGTTAGAAATTGGTAAAATTACTTTTTCGCTTTTGAATGATCTGGATTTGCCGCCCTTTAATTCATTTTTGAAGATACCCAAATATAATGTTTGAAACGTAGTATTTATATGTATTAACAGACCACCAGTTGGGGTAAAGCTACTTATGGGCTATTTGAAATAATGTGCAAGGAAGATCATAAGGTAATTTATAGAAGGTGATTTCAGCATACATTTTTTGAATACAGGGTCAAATTTGAAAAGTACAATATACAGTACATTCGTTGACAACTTTTCCAGTTATCAGATCACTATGCATGAGTAATTGTACTTCCCGTTTCATAATTAAAGTAGGAGAGATAAACGAATGAACCACTTTTTCTGACAGGAATATTTTGAATTTCGAAATACTTGGCTATGAGAGTCAGAATGATATGTATAATCAAACTTGCCCAAAAATAGCATATCACGTTTTTTAACCAGATTATTTTATATTATATGGAAATATCTTTTCTCTTCAAAAAAATCAGCATTGAAATCTAACTACTCCTTTAACTTCTAAACTTAATAATCTCAAAAAAGTGGTTTCATTATACTCAGATCTTTCAAAAGAAGATGATGTTTGAAAATATATTTTCAAACAAGTTACCGAAACTTGCGCGGGACGCACTAAAGCAAAATAATATATAAAATAAATTTGGATCTAGAGATTAATAAAGTGATTTCAGTTTCATGGAAAGTAATATTGACGAACTTTTCGAAATGGTAAAAGATCTAAAAAATTGCAATATTAATGGTCAAGATTACTTCTCCATTACTTGAAGAATTAAAAAAGATGACTTCAATAGATATGAAAACTACAGAGGAATAAGTATTGTTTCGGGTATTTCAAAACTTTTTTAACTTAACATCAAATTTGACTACAAATGAACTCTTATCAAATCAGCTTGGCTTTATGAAAGATGAAACTTTAGAAAACAATATGTTTTTAATTATTATTTTAATAAGAATAATGATGATAAAACAAGTCACATAAAATGTGAAATATAAGAGTAAAAGCCTGTTTTACAGTAAAAGGGTTAAAAAATTAAAAATGACATAAGTATATTACGTAATTGGTATCTAATACAATTTCTCAAAAAGAGTTGGAAACGAATAATATGCAGCCGAATACCTACCTNATAAAACCTCTGTCTCAGGTTGCAATTGTTTACGTGATTCGGAAGAAATCAACTTAGAACTGAAAGAAGACCATGCTGAATCCGAACATGTAGGTCTTCTTCGTTTGGATCCATCATCAGCTTGGGGACCCCCTCAAGCTCCTATGGGAATGATACAAGGTCCAAATGGCCAGATGGGCGGGCCACCAATGAGCATTGGTGCTCCTATGGGTCCCAATATGATGCAGAGTTATCAAGGTTGGGGTACATCTCCACAACAGCAGAGCTATGCTGGATACGGTACTCCTTCAGGGCCAGGATCATATCAAGGTTGGGGTGCACCACCAGCACCTCAAGGACCTCCACCACAATGGGGAAACAATTACGGTGGACCACCTCAGCAACAGGGTTATGGGTCATATGGTGAGTATGGTATGTTGGTTTTTTTTTAATTACTATCATTATACTGCATTACATGAATAGTTCTACAATTTTCAAGAACAAATGATATTGTTATCTTTAGGGTAGTTGCAGTGAGTGTAACTGAATTGATGACAATGATTAAAGATAAAAGGACTTACTGTTTTGCTGGGATTAGTCATACAATTTGTGTGTGTGTGTTTTGTGAATTGACGGACGCCAGGTTCTTTATCTGCATACTCCCAAGTGTAGTAGGCTATAGCTATATATATTAATTTTTTTTTGCAAAATTCACTAATAAAAGTAACCCCGTCTTTGGATTTAGAATTCTTCACTGAGATGAAATCACATTGCTCTTGAATTCATTCAATTGTGTGAAATGGATCCTCTAAAAATCCCAAAATTGTAACAAAAAAGAAATAATTATCAAAAATTACTAACCACCAATTTTGAAGCTATAATAGATTTCAATTAATTGAAAGCTATTATTATGCAAATTAGGACCACCCACCTGCCTTTCATTTTTGAGCAGGTTTAGGTTAAATATGATTGCAAATTCCATTAAATCACAATCAATTCTTTGGTTTTATGTAGTGTTGAAAAATTTTAACTTGATATTAATTTTTTCCTAAACCAAGAAAGTATCTCTTCTTTCTATATTCAACAGACAGACAGAAATGTTGACTAATTTTAAGCTACGCTCAAGTTGTTATAAATTTAATATATTTAAATAGTGTATGAATTCAAATTTTACCTCATCTACTTTTGGTGGTTAGAGTGTCTGCATGGCAATTGCTATTTTCTAATTATAATAATTATTAATTATTTTACAATGATTGTGATTCCTTTTTTTAGTGAGTAAGTATTCTTTTAAACTTTAAGTCCGATGCATTTACAATAGATGTAATGAATAATTTTTTGTGTTAATTTATTATGTTCTACAGATAGCTTGGTAAGTTAAACGTTCTCTAGTCCCTGTATTCTATTTTAACAAATTTTAGGCAACATAATTTGTATGTACATATACTATTTAAATGTATTCTATCTAAGTTATTCTTCATTTTTACATGCAGACAGTCTAATTATTTTAAGATTAACGAATGTATGTTAGGACACTACTTCGATAGAGTATTTATAAGTGTAAATACAATTTGCCGTAGAGTACACATTGGTAATTGAAATCCAGAATCACATCTGGCTGAACAAGGAGACCCGTCATGTTCCTCTCACAACTCTCTTCAACTTGAAAATAAAAACAGATATTATGGTAGCAAAAATTTATTTAATTTTTTATTTGGCTTTCAACAATTCTTTCACAAGTTATTAATAAATACTGCGAGAAATCATTTACAAGGAGCATCAGCAATTATTTCGATGCTAATTGACAAAAGTATAGACCTAATACTCACTACATGGGATCTCGATTGAGGACAATTCATTTTAAGACATTCCAGATATGATGTCCTCGAGTTTATTGCAGAAATATATTCTGAATATAACAAAGGAAAAACTATTCCAGAATATTTTCAACGTTTATCATTTCAATACTTGCTATTATCTCTATTCTTTATTGCTTTTTCTCAGATGGATGACAAATCCGTATTTTTAATTCCATAAAAAAAATTACTATGTATCAGGAGTTCTAACACAAGTTATAGAACAGTGCATTCAAAAAATTGTTCTGCAGCGCCATCTAGTGGCGAATTGCATAAAAATTGATAGCCTAAAAAACTCTAATTTATCTACAATCATTTTTTTAGAAACTATATTGACGAATCTTATCCTCTCTAACATATTTTAGAAAATGTATTGACGTGTCTAAAAACTGTGTTTCTTGAGATTAATAAAATTATTATTATTATTACACAAGACCTTTTCTCAACAGCTCCACCTTGTTGCAGAAATCCAAAGGAAACTACGGTTTTATTTGAGGAAAAAATATAATGACTTCAATATGGAAATATCTCAATAACTTCACTTATTTTTCTGATACTTCGACTTTCATTTTTTGTTAGCATTCATTATATAAAGATGTTGACTTTTGTGGATGATCTCTTGAGTCTTCTGTCTTTCCCCCCCCTTTTTTCTATAATATATACTGTAAAAAATTATAAAGGCATAACCTTTGCAACCCTTTCCTCATTAATACTCTTTATTCTAGTGCAATTTTTTCTGTGGATCTACCAAAAATATCTAGATTCTTTATTGGTTATTTCTAATGTCTCCTAAAAATGTACCCCTTCTCAATACTAAATGGTCTTTATTTTATTCAGGTCCTAATGCAGGCAGTGGAGCAGCAAGTTGGAATAGTTGGAACATGCCACAAAATAGTGGATCAACTGCACCATCCGGTAAGCATGTGAATTACTTCCCAAATAAGGACATTTTATTAAGTAATTAAACTGTTGCTGACAGGGTATATTGCAGGGGATATGTACTCTAGGGGCCAATCTGGTCCCGGTGGTCCTGCCACTCCCAGCGCACCTCCAAATATGTCAAACTCTGCAACAAACTCCAAACCGGGATCAGACTACAACTATGCCAGTTATGGATCATATTCAGCTGATGGCTATGGAGCTCCTCCAAGGTCATATGGTAGCGATGCTGGATCACAAGTTGGAGGATATTCGTCACAACCACCCAATGCAGGTGCTAAACATTTTAATGATTTTAAAGAGTGGCCCAGTTCTTGACAACCTTTCGATCATCTTTATTCTAGCAATGTGACTCCTGTTCAAATCCTATTGACCAGCTGTGCTCCTAAAAATATCCGTGTTTATTTTAATTCAATCAAAACTTTTTTTCCATCTGATATCACTCCTAATCCACATGTATTTGAGAAAAAAATCAATGAGCCTAATTGGGTAACTGAAGGATCCACAGGAATCACATTGAAGCATGTCAACAATTTAAATAATATGGGTATGTGTTATAACAGTTGGAAACGTGTTGGCTTGATAAACGTGAAGAGAGCAGCCGGATTGGTCACTCCCGCCAAAATCAATTACTCTGATTAGACAGACAAATGACTCACCAACATCCTCAGTCTGTTAGCTAACCTGACCTTTGTAATTGATGTCCGCAACTGCTTCCACGGACATAATATTGTTTTATTATCGCTTAACTTGATTCTACCTAATTCAAATTTGGAATAGGGAAACAATAATGTCAGTTTAGACTTTTTCAAACAGGTGAAAAAATGACTAAGCATTTAGTAAGAAATTATCCTAAATCCAGATCTCTCCTGTATCACAATATGACAATTATATTTAATTACCTCAATATGGGTATCAAATGACAGGGCTTGACTAGTGTAGTAAACTTTGAGAAAGATTCAAATTCTATATAGTACACTACTATAGTAGTATACTATGATAAAGATTAATTTTTTTTTGCAAAATTCACTAATAAAAGTAACCCCGTCTTTGGATTTAGAATTCTTCACTGAGATGAAATCACATTGCTCTTGAATTCATTCAATTGTGTGAAATGGATCCTCTAAAAATCCCAAAATTGTAACAAAAAAGAAATAATTATCAAAAATTACTAACCACCAATTTTGAAGCTATAATAGATTTCAATTAATTGAAAGCTATTATTATGCAAATTAGGACCACCCACCTGCCTTTCATTTTTGAGCAGGTTTAGGTTAAATATGATTGCAAATTCCATTAAATCACAATCAATTCTTTGGTTTTATGTAGTGTTGAAAAATTTTAACTTGATATTAATTTTTTCCTAAACCAAGAAAGTATCTCTTCTTTCTATATTCAACAGACAGACAGAAATGTTGACTAATTTTAAGCTACGCTCAAGTTGTTATAAATTTAATATATTTAAATAGTGTATGAATTCAAATTTTACCTCATCTACTTTTGGTGGTTAGAGTGTCTGCATGGCAATTGCTATTTTCTAATTATAATAATTATTAATTATTTTACAATGATTGTGATTCCTTTTTTTAGTGAGTAAGTATTCTTTTAAACTTTAAGTCCGATGCATTTACAATAGATGTAATGAATAATTTTTTGTGTTAATTTATTATGTTCTACAGATAGCTTGGTAAGTTAAACGTTCTCTAGTCCCTGTATTCTATTTTAACAAATTTTAGGCAACATAATTTGTATGTACATATACTATTTAAATGTATTCTATCTAAGTTATTCTTCATTTTTACATGCAGACAGTCTAATTATTTTAAGATTAACGAATGTATGTTAGGACACTACTTCGATAGAGTATTTATAAGTGTAAATACAATTTGCCGTAGAGTACACATTGGTAATTGAAATCCAGAATCACATCTGGCTGAACAAGGAGACCCGTCATGTTCCTCTCACAACTCTCTTCAACTTGAAAATAAAAACAGATATTATGGTAGCAAAAATTTATTTAATTTTTTATTTGGCTTTCAACAATTCTTTCACAAGTTATTAATAAATACTGCGAGAAATCATTTACAAGGAGCATCAGCAATTATTTCGATGCTAATTGACAAAAGTATAGACCTAATACTCACTACATGGGATCTCGATTGAGGACAATTCATTTTAAGACATTCCAGATATGATGTCCTCGAGTTTATTGCAGAAATATATTCTGAATATAACAAAGGAAAAACTATTCCAGAATATTTTCAACGTTTATCATTTCAATACTTGCTATTATCTCTATTCTTTATTGCTTTTTCTCAGATGGATGACAAATCCGTATTTTTAATTCAATAAAAAAAAATTACTATGTATCAGGAGTTCTAACACAACGTTTCATCAGACCTTATGAAGAATATATAATAAATAAACCATAAAATTGATATCTCGACTATCTCTACAATAAATTGAGTTGTTTTTTATTCTTGACTACAATTGTGTATTTCATTTTGATGAGTTATATTGCCAGGATACACGTCCAAGTAGATAAAGAATTGGTTCTCAATGTTAGTAACACACTTTTCAGAATGTTTAATAAGCTACCTTATTCACTTTTTATATATTTTATTGTTATCAAAATAATTTTCTATTTAAGTATTACTTTTTGGTGAATCCATTCTATTTGGATGTAAATATTTTTTTGACATGCATCAAAATATGTTTTAAATTCTGCTTTATCTAACTTATTTGAAAGATTCAAACATCAAGTATACTTCATTGAAAATAGTTGAACTATATGTGGGACACTTTTGAGAGAGGGAGTACTTGGGTTTCACTTGCTATCTTTACACTTACATGCAAAGTTCTACCAATTGTCTGTTGGTGACAGTGTTCGACTGATCGTTTATTTCAGCAGAAACACTTTTTTTTACTTCCTTAATGCTTGGGAGGAAACTCGAATATGAGAATGTTTTTAAAAATACATTTTAGTTTTATAAAATCTATTGTCATAAAATAGGATAAACCTACATTTTATAATTGTTGACATATTTCTAGAAGCATTTCAAAAAGACTTATTTGTTCAGTTAGGTTACCTACCTATTTAAGAATAGTGTTTGTGATCAACGCAAGTATTAATATCTCTACGATATTGAGCAAACTAATGCCAGATATTTATTTTTACAATATAAGATTTTATTGTGAGGTTTAGGAGGAAAATTGTATATTTTGAAAAATATTTCGAGAACTGCTTCCTAATCGAATTAATTTAACTTTTATGATCATAGTATATTATCAGTTATGGCTGTTTCTTTACCATTTCAACTTTTTTGGATTTCTCCTTAACGTTCGGAGGAAAGATCTTCCTGGAGTTCTATTTGGTCATTGCCTTTGGTAATGTCAGTTAGCAGACCACTGCCAACAAACTCACAAAACAAGTTATTTTATTTTGTATATATGTGAAAGTAATGTCTTTCAAAGGAATATTTAAAATTTGGTTATTTTTAAATATTGATCTGTAGAAAATTGTTTTACAGTGTTACGAGTTTACCATTTTACTGAAATATTTTTCTTGGGACATTCAATTTTCTGCACTGGTATCAGTTTGTTCTTTGAGTGTCCAAGGTAACGTGTCTGAAATAAATTTTTGCAGTCACCTCAGTTTTGCACACCACTATACCTCAGGAAGAGACATAGCATTTTCTGAAAATAATCTAGAAAAATAAGTAACCTATGAAATCAAGGTAATTAATATTTAGTATATGAGAATTCTGTCTGTCTGGGCCTTGTCTGTCTATCTAATCACATTGTAATTGATGTTATTTATCCAGATTTTATATATTTTTTTTTAATTTTGATTGTGACAATCTACATAAGCAATGTTCGTAAGTAGTTTAGAAGTAAAAGAATATTGTTTTCTAGTTTTAGTCGAAAATTATTCTTGGTTGATTCAGACCAATATTACAAATTACAAATCGGTCTCTAAGTAGATTGTAGTTTTTAATCTAGTAAATTTGACAAAACATGGGGATGATTCAATGATAGTAGAGTGGTTACGAACCTGATTAGCGTCCATTCATTTGTCTGATTTGAAAAAACTTAAAATAATGCGTTTAAAGACTTAACCGAGGGGACATTATTATTTCTTCCAGTTTTATTCATCATTCTCATTCTTGATATATTATTTTCAATAGCAGCTATATTTTAAATTGTTTTGATTTCATCACATGTCAAGTTATATCGTTAGTCTAATTGAATAGTTGTTGATAAATTAGTTCAATTTATTCCCTTTATCTTATGGTGGGGGAGTTATTGTAAATACATATAAACCACAATTCGAACTGTTATTCATATTCTATGAATTAATGCACATAATTAAATCTTGTTTATTCTTCCATTTTGACCAGTGTCAGGTACTGTTTCAATATTTGAAGATGGAAAAAGACAAGGTATTCGGTAGAACAGTAACAATTATATCTTATCCTCAATATGTATATGAAATACCTCGTTTCAAAAATAATCTTTTGAACAAGATGAACATTTCAAACACCTATTCAATTCTTTTTTAGTTCTTGAGTAGTTACAAGTTGGGGCCTGTTATAAAAAAAAATTCATTATCTACGTAGATCATTCTACTTCCTGTAATGAAGTATTTGAAGTTCATTGTACACACGAATATATTAATATACATTTATGTCTAATGAAGAGGTATTATTTAAATTACATTAGTTCTTAGATATTACACTAATACAAAATAAATCTACAAATTAATAATAGATTATTTATGAAATGTATTTTATATTACCATTACTGACATAGTTAATTGAATTGTTAGTGTAATTATAAATTTAGAGGAGTAAAAATTAGAAGAATTCGACTGATGTACAGGTACTGGCTAAGTTTTAAATTAAAAGAAAAATATACAATAAATCACTTTAAAATATTTAGGACCCTTAAATATAGTGCAATTTCTTATGGGATTTTATCTAGTGAAATAGTACATTACATTAGGTATTCTCATAATTTTTAGCATAATTTAACATAAGGGTATGTTTCTATAAAACATACAATTTTTGTGAAGTATTTGTTGCTCAAAAGATATTATTTTGTATTATGTTATCTATAAGAAATCCTATGTCTACCGACAATGATCTAATGAAACTGTATATTCAATATATGAGTGTGACTTGAGTGTTGCATTGTTTTATAATTCTTAAGCCTGATAGTTATTGACAAACATGTTATTTAATAATTAAGCTAACATTATATTCACATAACTTG